GCTAGCGAATGTATCTGTGCTGACACTTGATCAGTTACCTGCTGTTTCTGATTGAGAATGGATAACTTACCTTTGGATAAAGGTTGCTCAGGGTTGCAGACAGACAATGCAACGTTGTTCTAATTCTCAGTCGGTATGAGCAGTCAGCTACCGTCGAATAGCAAATGCAAAATCTGCTTACCTCTAATTCAAGGGAAACGGTATGCTCCTCCAGAATAGCGAATATGTGGTCCATCAGATTTGCTTGTCCTGCAGCTTTCATAAGTTCTTTCATCTGTTCACATATTAAATCGCTCGATGGACGACTGTCGGAGCTCTCTCTCCAGCAGCTCCGCACTAATGTGACCTAAAAGGGCAAAAAAGAACTTGGCAATTTGGTTGGATTCATCTTGTAGCAGCAAGCATCTATCAGTGTCCGACTCACCAGTTCTGCCGGGACATCGAGCATGTCAAGCTGAAGCGTTGGACGCATTGGCGAATTACCACCCTTCTTGATTCTGATAAGTATATCTAAATTAGGTTTGATTCAAAAGTGGATTGAAGACGTGAAAGAATAATGAGAATCTAAGTTTCGAGCAGCCTTTCAAATGCGTACACAATCATAACAAGCGGATAATGGATATATACGCATTCGCAGTTCAAAACTTTTGAACATTCAAGTTTACAAGTCCTATGCATTAAGAAGCTCCTTCATTTAACCCTGCAGTATCGGGGTATCAGAGACGTCAAACTTCATCACTGAGTGGCGAATTCAAAAAAAATTGTCTTTCGTATTAGCTGGCGTATATCGGGATCAAGGGTGTTAGGAAAGTCTTCACCTAGCGAATACAATCGCTCAAAGATCATATACCGCTCGAGTTTTCCCAGCTGTAATTGTTAAAAATATCGTCAGAGTTATGTGAAGAACAAAACATTTCTCCTTCTGTCCGATTTCCGCCAATTTCTGTAGCTGATGACTTATTCAATTAACAACTGTCATGTCTTAGAACAACGCTCATTAGAGTATTCCTTAAGCACTCGATGATAGCAGATACAGTTCATCTCCCATACTTACATTCAGGGAAATTGCTACATTGGCTGACAGTGATATTGACTGACAGTTTGGTTTACGGTCGTTAAAGGGGAGCA